CTTCAAGGATCATTTTCAGGAACACAGGGGACAGGCCAGCACACGAGGCTCAGGGAGGGCCACAGTCTGCTTTAGAGCCCGCCTTTTGAACCACACTGTGGGATGGAGGTTTCCTATTTCCTTTTTTGGGCTGACTTCTTTTCTACCAAAGAGAAGTAGCTTTTTGTGGTCAGAAAAAAAAATCAATAGATGTTACTACAGAAAGAGCTTGTTTCTGCATGGATCCGATAGCATAGTGTGACTGGAACCCTGGGAGCTGCACTCTGTGAGACCTGGGGGGACAAGGGCTCATGGCTGCCACGCACCGTACATTTGAGTCAGGAGACATCTGGCAGGTGGAAAGCAGAGACCAGGAAGTTGACAGCACCAGTGAAGGGTTTGTTCTGTGCTGTCTTCCTTCACTCTCTCCTTTGTTTCTGTTTTCTTTTTTGTTTGTTTTGGAGGGAACAGAGAGAGCTCTTTCAATTTGACATGAGTGTTGCAGGGCTTTAAATAAGTTCACGAGGGGGCTGGCTTGGCTTTTCTCAAGATCTTTTCCAACCCTGGCGTAATTAACCGGGCCCACCATGTGGGGGAGAAATTTGAGACTGAGGAAGGTGAGTAGCTGATGGTCACCACGTGGTGGGCCCTGAATTGAATGGCGCTCATGACAGTAAAATCAGCCTCATAGAGGACAGCAAGGGTGTGTGAGCGCAGCCTGGTTAGATGCTAATTATGAAGCCCAGCAATCAAGCCTTCTGCTGCCTCCGAAGCATGGCTCTCACCTTCAGAGCAGCCAAGAGTGGCGCTCAATCTTCTTATTAGGCCGTAAGTATTCTAATTAGGGGATGTGGGAAGATGAGCAGGATTAGCAGGTGGAGCAGGGACCGGAGAGGCACTTGAGCCCTTAGTCTGAGTTTCTCCTGACATTTAATCACGCAGAAGCTCACACTTCACATGGTGCTCCTAATTAGATGCATGCCAACCATGCTGTGGTTTCCCACTTGGTAAGGACGGCTCACTGCCTTGAGCAGGACGAGGATCCAGAAGGGACCTGTCCATGGCGCCCTCCTCAAAGACGGCCTGTTGCGTGGTGGCAGACAGGAGGTCCTTATGTGTCAGAGGACAATGAGGAGCGCTGGTGTGGTCATTCAGATTTGGCTGTGTTCATGTTTAGCTGGAGTGTGTTGTGGGTGTGGTGGAGAAATGGCCCTCTAAGACCTGCTACATAGCCGGAAGCTTCCGTGGAGACAGATGGCTTCTTGGGCCAGGCAATGCCTTGGCTCTGGTACTGTCCTGTGCTAACAGTTGCCACTACCCCCTTCTCCAGTTCATAAACGCCTGGGGACAGTCAACCAAATGTGCCATGAGGGTCTGTGTGAGGCTGGTGCATCACAGAGGCCTTCACTAGAAGCCAGCAGGTAGCACCTTCAGGCAGTGAGCCTGCAGGGCAGGACCCTCAGAGCACAGGGCACACACCTGGGTCAGAAAAGTGTGTCGTTGAGACTATGCTCACCAGTGGCCTGTGTCTGAGAGATCTCCCTCCCACCATAGCCCCCACCCCAGAGGCTGAGAACTTGAGAAAGGACATTCTGGAGGTTTCCCATCCCCAGGGAGTTCTCTTCCACTGGGAACGAGAAGGAACGAGAAGGAGGGAAAGCAGGGGGAGGAGGGACGAGGGAAGGGGGAAGAGGGAGGACAGGAGATGGAGACAGACGGAGGTTGGGGCATGGCAGAGATCAAGAAGGAAAGGGTTGGGTATCACGAGGCCTCCAGCAGCCATGACCCACCCACACACCAAGGGCACACACAGCCTGCTTCCTCTCCCCCAGATACCACATCCTCAGGTGGGGGTGGCTAAGTGACATCTCAGTGTCTCAGGCTGAATTGGCAGGTCCCTTGATGGAGCCAAGCCTTTGAGCTCTCAACCCTGTGAGTACTTGGTTCTGGCTGGCACACAGGGACAATTTCTTCAAGGGAAGAGACTGGGTTACATGGCAATGAAATGGAAGAACTTTGTGTGACCCATGAGGTGTCCAGGGCACTGGTTCTACCTCCAGTTCACAAAGGCAGCCAGCCAGGCCCAGTGTCCATGGGAGACTGGCACAGATGCTGGTGTTCAGAACTGGCTTAGGAGGACAAGTGTGGCCACAGGAAGGCCTAGGAGTCTACCCACCTATGGCCGTTTCACTGCGACTGGGGCCATTCATAGACATGACTTTCTGTGCCTGGGCCCTGGGGACCAGTTCCTGGGAGGGGCAACACAGAGGGGACTGTCTAGGGTCCCTGCTGTATCTCTGAGCCCCCTCAGGCACTACACACAGTTTACTGCTTCCCTCCTAGAACAACACATGGAGTTGGGGCCTTACTCTGTCTGTTCACTGCTTGGGCAGCTGTGCAAGACTTAGAGAGATATCCAGCACTCACAATGGGGCGTGCTCTGTGTCACCCTCTCCCCCCTGATTTACAGGCTTGTTTTGGAGCCCTGCTGTCTTTTTTGTGACAATGTATACTGATGTGCCCACAGGGGCTTCCTTCTCTAGCCCCCATAACTGGATGGGTCTCCTCTGTGCCAACCCTGTTCCTCCTTCTGGGCCTTTCTGCTCTCTGTGGACATGAGGAAGGCCAAGTCCTCCTAGCTAAAGACAGCATGCTAAATGCAACCAGTTTTGTTTGGAATTGAATCTAGTGCCTATCCCTGGCTCTCACACATCAAGAACTTAATGGAGTTATGCCTGTTGCATCCTTTAGACAACAAGCCCCTAGTTCACAACTCAACTGTGTTCACTGGTCCTATCCATCAACTTGGTTCTGTTTCTTGAGAATGAGATACAAATGGTGGAGAGAAGAGAATTTTTCTGGAATTGAACATTAGCAATTGAAGCCATTGAGGAAGACAGGAGAAACAGGTCACCACAGTGTCCCCAACCAACCCCAGAGGAGGAAGAGGAGGAGGAACATACTGAGGACAAGGCCTGTTCCATCATGCCTACCCATGCTGGGCTCAGTTTCTCCTTGGAGAAACAGTGGGACAGGTTGGATGTCTAAGGCAAGCTCAGCCATGTACCCCAACTGCCAGCCTCAGCAGCTTATAGTATGAGGACACCTCCTAATGTTTCTGTCTTCATGAAACACACACACATATGCACACACACATATGCACACACATACACTCATACATACAACACACACACACACACTCATACATACACATACACACATATGCATGCATGTGTGTACGCACATACAGGTGTATACACACACAGACACAGACACAGACACACATGCACTCATACATACACATACACACACATATACTCATACATACACACATATGCATGCATGTGTGTACATGCATACACATGTATACACACACAGACACAGACACACATTCACATATGCATGCACATGTACACACACAGTTACACACATAGACACACACAGACACAGACACACTTGCACTCATACATACATATACACACATATGCATGCATGTGTACACACACATATACACACATAGACACACACAGACACAGACACACATGCACACACATGCACATACATATACGCATACATACACATGCACACACACATATGCATGCATGTATACACACACAGATACGTAGACACACACAGACTCAGACACACATGCACTCATACATACATATACACACATATGCATGCATGTGTACACACGCATACACATGTATACACACACATATGCATGCATGTGTACAAACACAGATACACACATAGACACACACAGACACCCCTTTGCAGAAGAAGGTGCCGTGGCTGGGCTCAATGCCCTCTTACATGCTTCTGGTCACACAGCCTGTGAGGGCCACACCTCAGCTGAGTCCAACCCACACCGTCTCCACAGCCATTATCCCTTCCTTCCCTGCCACACAGCTACAAAGGGTCACTGTCTGAGTACCACCCTGTGCACCGCCTCTTACAACTTAGACCGTCAGGGCTAGTTTGAATTTTCCAGAGGGCTCTGAGTTTAGAGCCAAGATGGGAATTGGAGGCCTCATGTGCCCCATAGCTGTCAAACTGGCCAGGTTCCCCCGGTGTGAGCACTCCTAGGGAGGAGCCTGCTACTTTCTTGCCAGCTTGCTCCCATATCGTATCACCACGAGCCCCTAGTTATAGCCGAGCAGCCCAGACTGTGATGAAGTACCTGCAGACCCAGAGAGTGAGGCTGTGGAGTTTTCACAAGCTTGAAATGGGGGCAGCGGGGTCACCAAGAAGGAGTACTGCTAGGAAGCTGAGACCACACTTCTACAAAGGGTCCCCGGGGTTGTGGATGCCTCTGTGCTCAGTGGGGCTCTCCCTCCTGGTCCCCAGTGATTGTCTTACATTTGTAGCGTGGCTAGCCTCTGTGGTCACAGGGTACACAGAAAGCCAGACTGCAGTGAGGGCAGACAACACTGCCCTGACACTGTTGTATGGGGACTGTCAGTTAGGGGCTGGCTATGGATCTTCCAGGACCCTGAAAGTGGGCCGGACAGCAACAAGTGGTCAGTTCTACTATTTCTGGTGGGCTTCAGCCAGCCTCCCTTCTCTCACACACATGCCAGTCATAGAACCCTGTCTAGGTTAATGACTGTCTGTCTGATGATCCAGGCAGGGCTGGGTGGCCAGGAACACCCTCTTGTGCCTGTTGTGTCCCGGAGGGCACAGCGCTATTCACTTGTGGTGGTTGAGCATGTCTAGACCAGCTTAGGGAGTCAGGCTTCCAAGGACCCCAGACCTGTAGTACAGTGGTGACAGGGACCTGAGAACCTGGGAGTTCATCCCAGCTTTTCTGAGCCCCTGCTGTGTGGCTCTGGGGAATTCACAGGGTGGCAGCTGGTGGCTTGCCCAAAGCAGTGAGGTGAGTGCTGCATTCGGTCTGTCTCCTGCCGGTCTAGGCAGGAGTCAACGTTGAATGTCACCTGGGTCCCCGACTTCCTAACCCTACATTTGAATCTTAGCACTTGCTGCTCCTATGTGGGCCCCTCCCCAGCCCTTCTCACCTCCCGGTCCAGGCCTGCTGCCACTGTCACGATGTCTCCTGTTTCACTGTTGATGGTGAACATGTTCTGAGACGGGCTCTGGGGTGTCTGGGTGACAATCCGGTACCGCACCATGCCATTGGCTGTGGTGCTGTCATCCGCATCGTTGGCTGTGACAGTCATCACGTATGTACCTGGAACAGACATTAGGTCAGACGGGGACATTTGCTACCCAGACACCCAGGGTAGATATCTTCAGTTGACCCTAGGGCTTGTGATGCTGCAGCATACGCCTGCAGCGTCTTTCTCCACAGTGAGGTCTGAGGTAGCTCAAGACCAAACTTCCTCACCCATCACACAGCACCTGAGAGGGTCTGCCTAAGCTCTTGGTTCCCTGACTTTGTTCTGAACTTTTCTCTGTTCTGCAGAGGGCAGGGCAGACCTGGAAGAGGAAGTGGTTTTTCACTTCTCGGGGAACTGGCAGCAGACTAGGCCTGAGTCAGGACAGCCAACGTCCTGACCACAGGGCCTGAGGCTGGTGAAGTGTAAGTCCCAGTGCAAGGCTGCTTACCGAGGACCAACTGGTACGAAGCCTTGCTGCTGGGGGATAAATGGAGAGATTCCATAAAGATGCTGTTGTTAAAACATGAATCATACACATAAAGTTTGCCCTTGAAAAGAACAAGCCCAAGGTTTTGATATCCTCATGAAACCAAACATAACTATCTCCACCACCTAATTGCAGAAGGCAGTCCTCACCCTAGAGGGAAAGCCACCCACCTGTCCCTCTGTCCTTTCTCCCAGCCACCCCAGCCGCCCCAGATTTCCTATTGCAGGCACTTCCTGTAAATGGAGTCACATAATCTGTGCCCTTTCCTGTCTGGCTTTTTTTCACTGAGCCCAGAGTTTTTGAACCCCGCTCCTTTTCATGGCTGAATACTACTCCATTGTGTGACTGAGAAGAGTCACTCTACACTTATTGACTGAACACTTTCGGCATGTCAGGCACCATGCTATGTGCTTGGTTTTGTGGATGAGGTCAACCAGAAAAATGTCATCCCTCCTCTTCACTATTACCGAGAAAGGCAACACAGACAGACAGAGACACTGAGCTGAAAATTAACAGTGTTTCTTAGAGAAGAAGGGAGGCCATATTCATGAAAAGACACACGGATTAACTGAGCCAGGAGGTGGACTGCGGCCATTTCCAGTGGCACACTCCTGGATCTCAGCACCCGGGAAGGCTGAGGCTGGAGGGTTGCCACAAATTTGTGATTGGCCAGGTCCTAGCCCAGCCTGGGCTGCACAGTAAGACTCTTATCTCTCTCTCACACACACAAAAGGCAAAAAATTCAGCCTGCAGAGGAGACAGGAGAGGCCTGTCTGAGAGAGAAGGAATTGGGATAGGAGAGGATGTGGACCCAGGAGAAGAGTTCTGCCTGGGGGGAGACAGAGTGGGGTAGATCACCTGATAGGCTGTGTGTAGATCAGCAATGATTTCAGAGCAAAAGTTGGCTGGAAAATGCACCTTCAAGTCAATGCGTCCTCCATATCCAGGAGGGCCAGGGAAGGAGTTTGTTTAATAAATTCACAACAGAGTACTGGTTACATAAACTAGGGCACGCATCTGCGATGAACAGAAAAGCCCGGAGACGCTGGCAGCAGAGCTCTTAGGACTCTCGTGAATTCCACAGTGTATGGTGAAATGGAAAACAAGTTTCTACACTGAGTCCACGGAGGCCAACTCTGGACTTTAAAATATAACAACATGTGACATAGAGGAGAGAGACTGATACCCGTGACCACACAACCTGTGACAGCTTTGGAAGGAGTGTGGCAGGCTAGGCAAGATCTGGTGCTTTTCTTTAGTCGGTCTAAGAGTGAAGGGATGTCACTTGGGCATCGGAAGATCAGCTGTGTGTGTGAGGGGTGGGGAGAAGGAGAGGAAGAGCAGGAGGGAGGGAGGGACAGAGATGGGGGAAGAGAAGGGTTAGAGAATGGAAGGAGGGAGAGGCCAGACGGGCAGGGTGTGGGCACTGGAGTTACTGAGGAAGACAGAGGGTTTCTAGAGCCTAAACCACAGTTTGGAGACCTGGATGTGTTCATGGCTAGCCCTTAGGGCAAGGTGAGAATGCTCCAGGCTTGAACACTTTGAGCCAAAAAGAAGAAGCAGGTCCATGGGTTGCTATGGAAACGACCCAGGAACATTCCCAGCCTCGGAGCAGAGCAAGGGCTCAGCAGTTTTAGTTTTTCTTTCTTCTGAAAGGTGCAGAGAGAAGAGTGAGGAGGAGGATGGCCTCCCTTCTGAACCCTGGAAAGCAGCCCTGGCTGGGGACGTAGCCCCCGTTGTGTTGCCAAGGGACGTTCTACACCGCAGTGGCCCCTGCATTGACCACTCAGCAGGCCCTTGAGGGCGTCTGATAGTCTGAGGGAAGGCTCTTGGGCAGCCTTGCCATTATTTACTTCATGTGAGCCTCGGCTTACTCCTCATGCTTGAGAGGTGGCTGCCCTCTCTAACTCCCGCCTCTTGGCTCTCTCACTCTTTCTTCACAGTGTGCCGCCACAGAAGAGCTTTCTCCTCAGAAGAGAAGGCCACATCTCACACCCTCGTCCAGCGCCTGTATCTCTGTTGCTCTTCCAATCACTTGAACCCACCGCCATCAGACTTCATGTGACTTCTGGGCCTCTACCCTGGTCTCTCTGCTCCCTCTTGAGATCTGGGATTTCCTCCCTCCCTCTGACCAATGCTAGCCACTATATTCTGGGTTTTCTGCACAGGTTCAGAACTCTGGCTTCTCTTCTGCCTCGGTCTACTGGACCGTTTAATGGCTCCTCCTCATTCCTAGGCCCTCCCCTGCCTCTGCTTCCCACGGCTGTGTTTGGAGCCCCTACACAACTTTGTGTCCTGCATCCCTCACTGTAGCCAGGGGTGGCCATGAGCTCAGGTCATGTCCATCCACCCCAACCCCAAGGAGCAGGGTGCAAAGGAGTAAAAGTGTTCATTGCAGGGCATATGAGCATTCAGACAGAAGGACAGGTATGAGCAGCCACATAGAAGGACAGTGAAAGAGCCAAGGAGTGGAGAGCTAGAGAGTGCAACCACCTCTCAGGTCCCCTCTGGGGATTGTGGAAGATGTGGCCACAGAGGCCAGGAGGGAAACTGTGGTCATCTGAGAACCCTGGAGCCCAGGGCCATGCAGAAAAGCCACATGAAGTCAGCCAGAAGGTGGCCTTCAGCAGAGAGGGCCAGGGCATAGGCTGGGTATTGGTAGTGGGGCCTGGGGGCAGAGATACCCTTTCACCACGGTGGGGGGTGCTAGGTCTGCACTGTCTCATGGCCAGGCTGTGAGCGTTAACTTCTGTGCATAGACCTATGTCTGCCACCAACAAATGTGCATGGAGAAGCAGACTCCACAGCCCTTACACAGGGCTTTGCAAACGGGTTTTTCACTTGTAAACATTCCACAGTAGACGCTGCTAGTGCCCCTATTCACACAGCACCAAGAAAGGTCTACAAGTCCTGGAAGCAGTAGCATCAGCATCTTAAAGATGGCATGTCTCCAGGCACCCATAGGACATCATTGCCACCAGAGGGCTTGGCTTTGGTATGTGGAGTTGGGGGTGACACGACTGTCCCTGGTGACTTAGCCCAGAAAAGAGCTTGCTGCCGGCTTGCCTGTGGCTGTCTCATGTCTCCAGAGTGACTGAGTCACATAACAGTCTCCGGAATCTTGAGGCTAGTGTACGAATGTCACGATGACCCTTCACAGAGTGGCGTTTTCTTGCTTCCCCAGTGGAGTGTGTTGAGTTCTGCACAACTGCGTTACAGAACATTCAGTGGGCTGGATTTATTGGTCTCAGCAGGGAAGTGTGTGAATTTATTGCTATGCAGGACCCTTGAATCCCATAGACAGATGCACAGCCTTGGAGTGTTCTGGGAGGCCATGTCCTGAGTTATGGCTGCTGCCAGTGGCCTGGGGAGGACCATAGGTAGGACACATTTTTCTCCAGACTCTTGACTTTTGCTTGCATTTATTTGCAGGCCGAGTGCGGAGTGTGGGGCCTGTAAGGGAGGGAGGGTGCCTGGGTCTTACTCAGCTGGCATGAGAGATGTCTTGAGAGAGTGTTGGTGGGGGAGACACAAAGGATGTCCCACATTCATCTGAAGCCCTCTGCCATTCTTGATAAGGGCCCAGCTTTGTCCCCTCTGGCCTGGAGACAGGGCCCGTGGTCAGCCAGTGTCATCGACAGGGCTCCAGATTCCGGGCACTGGCTTCTCTTATCCTGTAATTTTTAAATTTAGGGTATCTCCACTGGGCCCAAGAAGCCACATGACTAGAAGTGCTTTGCCTAGTGACACAAAAGCATCACGGGTAGAGACTGGAGGGGTGAGGAGTCCAGGCTGACCAGCCACACCCACAGCAGAGCACACCTATCTTGCTGGGGAACCTTCCTACCTTCCAGGTTTGGCAAGAAGGCCAGGGAACTCTTGAGTTTGCCAACTGTGTCCTGGGACACAGAGCCTAGCAATGCTTGCATGAAGGTCTGTTGCTTGGAAGGTTCCAGAGGAGGAGGAGGAGGAGGAGGAGGAGGAGGAGGAGGAGGAGGAGGCGGAGGAGGCATTGGATTTCCAGTGCTTTTTCCAGGACGGGTCTCTGTTTGTCTCTTAGGATCACTGTAGCAAAGTGTCCCTGATGGGGGTTACACGAGAGTTTACCATCATAGGCTGAGCCCATCCAGTGTTATGGGATGGGCAGGTTGCTCTTCTTTATAGGGGCTGCATGGTAGATGGGGCAGGGCTTGATATAGACACAGGGACAGATCGCAGGGGTCTGTGACCACTGTGTGACATGTGTCTGGATGACCTGGCTGACTTCAGAAGCCAGGCTGGGCTAGGAGCTCTGAAGGGCCACTTCCTAGATCTGAACCTGGCCATACCTTCCGGTGACTTGCTGCCATGTTGTCTTTTGCAGCTCCAGGTTCTTCTTTTGGAAGCTGGAGCTGAAGGTGTCTCAGGTCTTGGTCTGCAGAAGGCTGAGCTGGGTTCTGAGTTCAGCACCATTCCGTGGCTACCACAGGGCCAGCGAAGCCACGCCTCTTGTGTTTGTGAGCAGGTGAGGTGGTGCCCAGTGTCCCATCACTGGGTGGAGTCTGAGGCCACATGGATGTCTGTGGTCTCGGTCACTTCTCAGCT